AGTACTTAGTGAAGTGAAAAAAAGTGTTGTTGTTACCAATGTCCTGTTACACATTTGTACTTACACAAACCATTCGGAGGGTTGTTACATGTGTGTAGTTTCAGAAATATTACAGCTGTAGATACTATGTACCAATGTGTACTTACACTGTGGTTACATACTACGTACACATCTAGTTACTATGTAAATACACAGGTATTAGGGACACAATATAAAGTGGGACCAATTATTGCTACTACATAAAGTCAAAAAACTGTTAATGAAGAATGTTGAGGGTGGCTCGTGACAAATGCTGCTTGGATTCATTAAAGGACGTTTTGCGAACCTCAGTGAACATTAGAAGGACGGTACAAAAGGACTAAAGGTACTGTGATTGAAGTCTTTTCACAAGTGGAGTTTGTGAATATTTAGAAGACTACAAATGATTGCAGCAAGCTTAATTTAACAGCGATGGTTTGCCTAAAGATTGGCTTTCTAATTAAGTAGAATGGCGGATGATTCTGTGCATGCGAATGTACCAGGTAATGGCCACAAGAGGGCACCAAAGCCTAATGCATAGGCAGCTGACGAGAAAATTAATCGATTTAAGAATAAAAGACAAGGGAAACTGGCACAATTAACACGCAAAACGAAGGAAATTGACCGATTAATGCAAGACAGAGAAGATCTGAAAACTGTTGAAAAGGAACTGAATGTCTTTTGCCAGATCTTATGTCAGTTTGAAGAGTTGAATGCTGAAATGTTTCTCATGTTGTCTGAAGAAGATGGGGAAAAAGATCAGATTAACTGGTTTCAACCCAAGATTTAACATTTTCGGCCGTTTACGTTTGATGTGAAAAAATGGATTTCAACCACAAATAAAGGAAATTAGTCTGATGAGCATTAACCTCAAGATGAAGACGACGATGGTGTCAAACCAAGTGATAGTGTGTCAGAAGTGATGGCTCCTCGTGATGGAAGGAAAAGTGGATCTGTGACAAGTAGTTCTGTGGCATCTTCAACCAGTTCTGCTCGTGTCAAGGCACAGGCTAAGCGTGCAGCACTTTTAGCCCGGGTATCTGCTTTAAGAAAGAGGCAAGAATTAGAGGCTGAAGAGTTGAGATTGAAGGCCAAAAGAGAACAGCTTGAACTGGATACAGAAATTGCTGTATCAAATGCTGAACTCAAAGTGTTAAAAGAGTATGAAGACGGTCAAGATGGCATGAATGATTATTACAGGTCACAGACTGGGTCACAAGCTGGTGATTCATTCAAAGGCCGAAAGGAACGTCAAGTTCAGCCAATATCTAACCCATGTAGAAAGTCTGAGCCTATGTCAAGCACCCAGGATTGCAGCTCTATCCAGAGACCATCTCAACAAACCACAGATCATGGTAACTCTCAACAGTCAACTGATGATGGCAGATATCTGCTCAAAGTGATGCAACGCCAAAATGAGATAACTGAATTGTTGATAAAGCAGCATAGCTTATTCCAGTTACCTCAAAGAGATGTACCAATATTCTCTAGAGATCCTCTTGCCTATATTTCTTTCATAAGGGCATTCGAGCATGTGATTGAGAACAAGACTAATAACTAATAACAGGTTATACTATCTTGAACAGTTCACAAATGGTGAACCACAAGCTCTTGTTCGCAGCTGTGGACATATGAGTCCTGCTAAGGGATATAAAGAAGCTAAATGTCTCCTTCAGCAGCATTATGGCAATGAGCTGAAGATAGCTACAGCTTACCTTGAGAAAGCTCTAAAATGGCCACAAATCAAAGCAGAGGACAGTAAGGGAATGAAGACCTACGCCTTATTCCTTATTGGATGTAGAAATACCATGGCTGATGTTGAATTCATGGATGAGATGAACAATCCAACAAACATGAGAACAGTAATTTCAAAACTTCCTTTCAGATTCAGAGAACGTTGGAGAAACACAGCCTTTGATATCCAGCAACGAAATGGAAGAAGAGCCACATTTGAAGATTTGGTCAACTTTATTGACTTAAATGCTCAAATTTTGAATGACCTGCTCTTTGGAGATATCCAGGATGTTAAAGTAGAGAGAAAGGGCAAGTCCAGTTTGCCAGAGGGGAAGAACTCGAAGAAGAGTGGTTTCAAAGGTAGTATCTTTGCCACAAATGTTTCACCGGCTGGCAAGGACAAAGCAGAATACTCACTACAAAAGAAACAGAACACAGAGAAATCAGATTCTGCAGTCCAAAAGGCTTGTTTGTTCTGTAACAAGGAACACACACTGGATTCCTGTATTAAGCTCAAGGAGCAGGAATACAAAGACAGAATTCAGTTTCTTAAAAGTAAAGGTCTGTGCTTTGGCTGTCTAACACAAGGACACATGAGTAAAGATTGTAAGAAGAAAATATCATGTCCAGATTGTTCACAAAAACATCCAGGTGTCCTACATATAGTCAAACATGAAGATAACCGAGATCAAAAGTCTGATGACCACGACTTAGCAGTTTCAAATGCTCTTCTTTCACTGGGTCAGAAAACCTGTGGATATACTGGGGCTGGGGATGGTGAGTGCATCCTCTCCATTATACCTGTAAAGGTGAAATCAAAGAAGAGTGAAAAATCAGTAGAGACTTACGCTTTCCTAGACCCAGGAAGCACAACCACCTTTTGCACAGAAGATCTCATGCATCAACTGAACATACAGGGCAAGAGAACTGATTTTCTACTTTGTACTATGGGTCAACAAAGAAAGGTGCGAAGATACTTGCTGTCTGACTTAAGTGTGTAGTGTAGAAGAGAATACTTATATCGAACTACCCAATGTCTTGACTCAGCGACAATTGCCTGTAAAAGAAGGGAACATTCCTAAACAGGAGGATATTGAGAAATGGCCTTACCTGCATGAAGTTCGTCTTCCACATATCGAGGCTGCAGTAGGGCTACTTATTGGAGTGAATGCTCATAAGGCCATGGAACCATGGAAGGTGATAAACAGCAGAAGTAATGGGCCTTATGCAGTGAAGACAGTTCTTGGCTGGATAGTCAATGGACCGAAAGAAGAGAGCATCAAGACAA